TGTGCGCCCATGGGCGTGCTGGTCTGAAAATGAGGTGTGTTCAGGTGCATTGCTGACGCATTGCTATTTTGAGGCAACTGAAATAGACTGCGCCATTGACCAACAAAAACCTGGTCTAAAGTCTGGCGCAATAGTTTTTTTCTTTGTTATTTAAAGAGCACGTTAGTAATATGCGCCTATAGACGGGTGCACAACGTGCGTACACTTTGCTTATTACACACACAGGGATGCGCAGCAGCACACAAACATTTTTTACAATTAGAAATTAAAGGATTAAAATGTAAAATATTATTATTGTGTACATAAACATAAAAATGCCTACATGTCATTATGGATAGTCTTTGCATGTATCAGAATTACGCGCACGAGCAGATCCGTTTCCTCACAAGAGAAGCATTCAGTTTTTCCGCTTGCAAATTCCGCCATGTAAATAGCGAATCCGCCATGGCGCGAGCGCAACTGGCTTTTAAAGGGTCATGAAACCCTGTTTCAGCACTGGTTAGTTCTCACTACAGTTTTAAAAAATGCTAAAAAATTGGGCATGGTGCGGAGCGGGAAGAGGGGAGAAAGACAACACACACAGCTTCGGGTTCAGAGTTCCATTTCACTCCCATCGAGTTAAAAACACAAATAAATGCACAGCCATTTGCACTCTGCATCAAAAACATATGAACGCGCTGTTGCACCTCTGATACATTTTTTGGCTTATTCTGCTGCTGTTTATATAAGCATTTTGACGGCTTGTGTCACAGAGCTGCAAAAACGGTTACACTCACTAAGTGAATGAATAGCATTTGTGCCTAACTCTTATTACAAAGCAAAAACAAACGCTCTCCTTCCTTCTATCCATGAATGTTTCTCTCAGTTAATGAACGTAGTCTCACAGTCTGAAGCGTCTGTCATAGCAAATCGACACATGCTGTTGTGAATAATTAAGCGAAGCGTTTCTTATAAGATAAGAACACACAGTCTCATGAATAATTTAATAGACACCGATGCATCATTGATGTACTATTAGTCCATTGCCACGTCACAAATTGTGACGTCAACACAATGTAGATTTTAAACCCGTAAGATGAAAATAGCGCAAAAAAGCGTAAAATTAACCAGTTTTCTCAAACTGTTAAAATTATCGGATGCTAACATTGTCTTCTATAATGTGTCTTGTTATAATGTATAAAAAGTAGTCTGGGGTTTCATGACCCTTTAAAGGGAATGGGAGATGAGACTCTGATTGGTTTATGGCACGTTAAGCCCAAAACACACCCATTACTCATTAAGAGAATAGGGACAACCCTTTTAGACCATGAGCCTGGCACAAAAGCTTAAACTAGCAAAAGTGGATTCGGACGCCCTAAACGCAATTGCTCCGTGCGCTTTAGACCATGCGCTTAGATCATTAAAATAGGGCCCATTGTGTTAAAAGTTTGGTTTTCTAATACAAACAGTCTCTGAGAAACGTTCATTTAACTTAAACAGATATAAATAGTAAAATAAAACAAGAGAAACTGATAATTTTGCAGTGGTCTCTTAAATTTTCCAGAGCTGTATATGAAAATTTGGTGCAGGGCTTTGGGTGCCTTCCTGAGCTTAAAAGCGCTCCACAATTTTCCAGTGTAAATCTTTGGTGGAAAATGTAGCACACTCCCATTATTTTTACATTACCCACCTAAAACTTGCTCCAAACCACAACGATTTCAGTCTTCTACAGCTAAATGTATTAGTCTGCATCAGTTCTAGTTCATCAGATTGTAAGCACGTCCATTCTTAATTAACAGGGTATGTGTTGAGTAGCGGACCAAATTAGTGAAAGTATAAATACTTCCGGTTACATATGTTAATGAGAGAAGCCTAAAAATGCTTCTGTTCTGTTTATGTTTCTTCTGATATTTGACATGGCTTTCTTTTCCCACCTGAATTATATTCAAAATTAACAGTTGGAAAATAAATAAATACTACTTTAGGTCAATTATAAGATATTTTTTGTGTGTTTGTGTACTGTGTGCCTGTGTTATTAAACACACTCACACATGTTGAGTTTCTATGTTTTATAGGGACATTCCATAGACATAAAGACTGGTATACTGTACAGTACTTTTCTATCTCCTTACTGTAAGCCTACCCATAAACCTACCCCTCACTCAAAACTTTCCACATTTTTAGATTTTCAAAAAAGATAATTCTGTATGATTTTCCTCATGGGGACCAAAAAATTAAAATAAAAAATTTCCCCACAGGGTCAAAATGACTGCTATTACTTCTCTTGTAGAAACATTTGGTCCCAATAACATAATGAATACCAGGATCTCACACACACACACAGAATGCCTTGTTCTCAAATTAGTAAAAGACTCTTGGACAAATGGAGTACACATGGTGATCTGGAAAGGAACTAGTTCTACAACAAAAGATTAAACACTATTTAATGTGATAAACTCTTTACATCTGTCACGAACACATAGCATGGGTCTGATTTGCTCATGTAAAATAATAATCCTCCAGAATGTTATAAAACACATTATATTACCAGTCCTTGTGATTTTGGCTGTGGTTGTGGTTTTGGCTGTAGTTTCGGTTGTGGTTGTCTCTGACATGACAAGCAGACAATAAAAAAAAAAATATTACACAAAATAGTAATTTCTTAAATAAACAGAGAGCACATGTATATATTTACCTGCACAGTATGCTAAACTGCATGTAGTTGGGCTCACAAACTCATAGACATAATACCCTCCTGGACAGGCTTTGACTTTAATGGGATTGGATTGGAAATAGCAGCAGTTATTGCTCCAGTGACCACAGACATCTCGAGTGACCACGCCATCCTCAACTGTTGGATGTCCTCCGTTCAGCCACAGTGGAGCAATAGTGCCACAACTCAACTCATCAACACATGTGTCTGGCATCTGAACGCTCTGACCCTGAATGAAGAGACGGTACCAGCCGTTCCAGCTGACCCAAGTGTCACACATTATTTGAGAGGAATGTTGATTGTTGGTGGCTCTCCATAGATCATCCAGGACATTGTAGTTGTAGCAGGGGTCAACAGGGGGAGCTGTTGTTAAGAAATATTAAAAAAGTAAATGTTTCGGACTGAATGAATGTTATACTGTGTTTTGTACAACATAAAGTAGCAGTATGAAATCTCCAGAACAGTCTTCTCTTCATTTCTCTGTTGCACTTGTTTAAAGTTAGTCAAAGTTGAAAACAGTTTGTCTTGAGTTTGAACATCTACTTTTATTTTGCTGAAACAAATGGCTAACATGAGTCATTTTGCAACTGAATAGCTTGACTTTGAGAAGAACTGTTTGAAAACACATTTTGCCTCTTACTTTTATAATCTTACAAATTATTGGTTTGCATTTGGTGGTCTAAATTGTATCTTCTTTGTGCCAAATTATCTTACATCATACACTGTCAAATTGTATAACTAAATGAATGCTATCAATTTTCACTCTGACTCTTATCTTTTATCTGTGTGCACATGCATTTTCTGTCATTTTAAGTAATTTCCTGCCTCTGATGTTTTGCGGTCTGGGATCAGATTGAGATTATAAAAGGAGTCTACAGAGGTCTGAGAAACAGTGATGGTATAGTTTTTACTATTAATAAAAATGCTCTTCAGTTGAGTTCTTCATTATGATTAATTTGATTCATCTGTTACACTGTCTATTAAATAAAGAGTTAGAGAAGCAACAAAATCAGTCTGTTTAGGCTGTCTTTTCCTTTTCATTTGTCTTGCATACTGATTTTTACTACGTTAACTATGATTTTTGCTACACTCTTTTGAAATGGGACAGAAAGACTGAAACATTTTAAGAGACTGTGTAATGAAAATAAATGAGTAAAAATATTCTTGAGGCTTTAAAAGAAAACAAGACAATACTTTACCAGTGGTTGTGATTGGTGGAGTAATGGATTCTATGGGTGGAATTCTCTCTGTTGTTGTAGAAACTAATTGGATGGACTGGCCTGAGGCTTCTGGTATGAAGAAATGTGTGTATATATATATACAGTATCAAACATTTTTAATCATAACCCAGAAAAGTAAATGATTTAATTACATATGAGTAAATACTCACCAACACAGTAAGCACTGCAAACAATTGGTTTGACAAACTCATAAACATAGAAATTTCCAGGACAGGCTTTGACTCTTATAGGGTGGGATGTGTAATCACAGCAGCCACCCACTGATAAACAGACCTGACGGGTGACCACTCCATCTTCCAGCTGTGGGTGAGTGCCATTGAGTGATAGTGGGTGATGAGTGCCACACATGCCATAATTAACACATGATTCTGGCATTTGGGCATTTTGACCATTGTAGAACAGTCTGTACCAGCCATTCCACTCCACATTATAATCACACATGCCAGAGTAGTAATTGTCATTATAGTAAGAGTTGTCAGTGGCTCTCCAAGGTTCATCCAGACTGGTGTAGCTGTAGCAGGGGTCAACACTTGGAGTGGTTAACAATGCTGTTATTAAAAAGTAGAAAGAGAGCATCACATACTGCATATTAAATCTATTCAATATAATAATATGAATACAAACCAATACAATTTGTGATAAGCATGTCAAATAAAAAGATAAATGAACATGCCTGCACAATATACAGGAGCTGGGATTGAAAGAGTTGGTCTGGTAAATTTGTAGACATAATAATTTCCAGGACAAGCTTTAACTTGGATTGGTTCAGATCTGTAGCGACTGCACTGATCATAGCGAGAGCCGTAAATTTCACGAATAACAACTCCATCTTCTAGTTGAGGATGAGAGCCACCAAGATGAAGACCACTAAAACCTCCACATGACATGTAAGTCAAACACCACTCAGGCATCTGAGCACTTGATCCATCAATGAAGAGCCGATACCAGCCATCCCATTCTACACGAGTGTCATCAAGTCCATTTGCATCGCCATTCCAATACCCGTAATTGAGTGTGCTTCTCCAGTGGTTGTCGAGTATGTTGTAGTTATTGCACGGGTCATAATCTGTGTTAGTGAAAGACCAAAACAGACCAGTTATATTTCAATGAGCAAATTCACGAGTGCAAATCTGAACTAATCAAACACATTAACAAACATGAGATTTAAATGTCATTGCCAATATACTGTACATACATCAGTGGTGGAAAGCATACTGAAAAATTGTACTTAAGTAAAAGTATTGCTACTTAAGGAGTAATTTACTTGAGAACAAGTAAAAGTACTGAAAAATAATATAACTCAAGAAAGAGTAAATAAGTATTTTGCTTAAAAACTACTCAAGTTACTGCGTTACAAAGTACTTTAGTTTTATTTTTCTATTTTTGCCCAAAATGAGGCAATGCGAACATCATGGAGCATTAAATACTCTCTTGTAATGTCTGTTTCACAAATGAGACTTAGAGATGTATTAAACTTATAACTTTCTAGGAAATCCCTTATATGGACAAATGCATCAGATATCACTACAGCTGAATAACATGCAGACGTTTTGACTGATGAAATATTAAGACAATAAACACACTATTGAAATGATATATCTGTGTTTATCTGTGTTATTTAAACCATTTTGGGTATTTTCATGAGAATGATTCATATTTATAATGCAATGCTAATCGACAGTATAGAATTTTATAAAATAATATTTTTTTCTGTCACATTCTGTGATAAGAAGCAACACGGAACCACAGAATCAAGTTATCTCAAACATGACTGATGTTATATAGTAATTTTGGAGCAAAACATTATATTAATCTCATAAATTGTCATGTAATTGGCCATTTAAATTGCCAGTCAAAAATAATGTGGGGTATGTGTAAGGTTGGGCATCGTTTGAATTGTAATGATTCCGACTCCGATTCTGCTTAATGATTCGGATTCTTAATAATTCCTACTTTCGATTAAAAAAAAATTACTGAATACTGAAATGCTGAATACTGAACGAAAATCAACACGCTAAAGAGCAATTACACAAGGAACGTTTACCTGGTTTAAAAATAACATAGCAAAAAACAACTAGCCTAACTAATCTAAATTTCAAGCATTATTAAATACAAGAAAACACTCAGTAATTAAAAAGAACAAATAAACACAAACGTTGTCAGTAAACAGGCTAAAAGTCAGGGCAGGTGGCAATGAATCACAACTCAGAGACAAGGCGGATAATCCAGAAGGCAGGTAGCAGAGTATCATAAACGAGGTACAGACAGGGTCACAACACGCAGACAAAACAGAGAAAACCGTTCAGAAATGTAAACCGCAGTAAAACAAGACTTCGCAATGAGCTGGAAGGAACAGACTGTTTATATAGGCAAGCTGATGGGCTACAGCTGGGCTAGGTGATCAGTGCCAGATACGGGGCTGATGGGAAATGTAGTGTGAGAGTGTAAGAGTCAATATTCGGGTGAGGGAGCCCTCTGATGGTCGGAAGAGGGAATCACGGAGTTCGCCTCTGTGACACAATCGCACAAATAAAAACAAATTAATTAATTAACGATTTAAATAAACAGTGTTTTAAGATTTTCATGTAATCAGGTGCAGAAACTGTAATAAATATACATTTCAAATATAGTTACAAAAGTTATTCAGTCAAGAACAGCGAGTGAATTTTCTGTCTTTTGTTTGACTAATGTTATTATAGAGATGGCAGAAGGAATATTAGGCTGCTCGGATCCAATATACTGTTACACGCTTTCTTTCCCAAATCCAAAAAGACATGTGCCTTGTCCAAATACCCACACGTGCGGTCTTTGCACTTGACCACTTGACTACTTATATGACATATTTCCTGTATTTGGCCCAAGTCTTCAAGTGAGCATGAAGACCACAAGTGTGTGTACAACTTTTCATCATATGATGGGACACACTTATAGTGTTGTAAAAATGCAAGTGTTTTTTCAGAGCTTTATTTTTATTTTCAATACTTTGCATTTTAAAATCAACTTCTAAATGTCTGTTCAGTAGTCCCTATAATAGATGAAATTTAATGTGTGGTGCTTCTAAGTAATTGATAAAAAGCATTTGCAAATATTGTACAAAATAATTATACTCACCTTTGCACCAATAAAATGTGCAACACTTTGTTTTACTACCAAATCCTATGTAATATGCTAAAGGTTGCAGGCTTGCCTTCTCGTGGCTTTGGTATTCAGGGCTTAGTGTATCCCATCATGCATCATGTTCTGGAAATAAATCGTTAGACTTTTTACGAGATCTCGTGAGAGTTAGTAGTGTGTGGATTTAGTGTGCATTAATGGAACACCGCTTTGGCATTTTTAAGACATGGTACAGTCTTGCTCACTCACTTCCTGTCGCGCGCACGCACTCTCAAGTGGCCAAGACCGCAAGTGTGGGTATTTGGACAGGGCAATAAAAGAGAACTCAGTTCAGTGTCACGCAGTATGAGAGGCGGCTTTCTGTGCGCACGTCTTGGATGTGTGTGCAGCAGAGAAAACAGCATGTGAGTCTTCTTTACTTGAATGGTTTGAAGTATTAAAATGCACACAAAGGAATCAAAATTAGAATTTTGTAACAAGTATCCGATTCTTAAGTATACGATTCCAGAATTGGAATTCCCAAGCGTAGGTAAAGGTTAATGTTAAATAAAAAGCGCTTTTTTCTTTCTACCGAAAATGTGCCTGGAGTCCACCGTTACTATAGTAACAAAGTACACTTTTACTTGCAACTGACTGATGTCAGTCAGATGCACATAAAAATGCATGTGCTCTTATTGCAATGTTGTTGTTAATGTTGAGGTTATTTCAGGTTCATATTTCGTACATTTAGTTTAACTGCACTGTTAAAGAGGGCAAGCTTTACCATTCAACTGAACTGAGTGCATGCACTTTAGACACCTTACCTTACCTACCTGTTCTTGCTCTGTCCATGAAATAGGGTATATGTCGAACATCACATGACCAAACCCGGAAAACAGGTCTCATCGCTTCTGCTTGTCAGAGAACGTGTTAAAAGCCGTATTAAATAATGGCACGAGTCAGACCTGTCTGTTATTACCTGAAGCGCAGTGCCCGTCAAACACCAGCTCGCCCAGTTTCTCCATCAGCACCTTTGTCTTTTTTGTACTTTTGATCAAAAATAAATGTAACGAAGTTGAATACTTTATTTTTATTCAAATCAAGTAAAAGTATCATAATTTAACTATGCTCAAGAAAGTACAAAAAAAATTTGAAAAATGTACTCAAGTACTGTAACGAAAGTATCTGTAATTAGTTACTTTCCACCTCTGACATACACACACACACACACACACACAGAGAGAGAGAGAGAAGTTACATGAATTAATTAAAATGTAACTTACTCGAGGTAATGCTGAATCCAGTAATTATATTTGGACTTGCGGTGGAAATCGGCCGTGAAATGGTGCTGACATCTGAAGAGAAGGACATTCAAGACATGATTGAAGTGATTTTAAATATTTTGAAAGACTTCATAAAAAAATAGGAGAAAAAGCACATTACCTGTGCAGTATCCTGAACACGAGATTTGTGGATTCACAAGTTCATAGACATAGTAATTGCCTGGACACGCTTTCACTCTGATGGGGTTTATCTTGTAATAACAGCAGTCATCCCAATAATAATAATAACCACAGACCCCTTGAATCCCCACCCCATCCTCTATCTGAGGGTGAGGACCACTGAGCCACAGATTGATGTTTGTGTTACAGCTGTATGAACTAACACAGGTCTCTGACATCTGGATGTTCATTCCATAGTAGAAAAACCGGTACCAGCCATTCCAGGAGAAATGTTCATCACAAACGTTATCTCCACTTTCATTGTTGGCTCTCCAGGGATGATCCAGAGACTCATAGTTGTAGCAGGGATCACTGCTGATGCTGCTGAAAGCAACTGTTATGGAGTTTGGAAAAGTTATGTTAAAATACTGGGACCCGCTTTATATTAATTGTCATCAACTACAGTCTTCTAAAATGTAAATTTGTAATGTGATACAATGCACTTATTGCGCAGATACATGATAAACTGTGCGTATATTTACAAACACATCCATTTATGTACAGCTGTAAATATTTTATGTAAACACATCTGAGTTCTGTAAGTACACTGTTGACTCATATCTTACAGTTTAACGCACCCTTAAATATAATCATACCACTAAAACTGTCCCAAACCTAGACTATATTCCTCCTAATGAGCAACAAAAGTGTTTTGTAACACAACATGAACCCAATGAGAACACTGTAATTTACAATTCATCTTCTCATCTAAATTGTAACACATTAATATATAATGTATAAATGATCAGTTACTACATAAAGTCACAGATGTGAGATGTGAAGTCGGAATCATAAGAAATAAGGTCTGAGATATAAAAATCGCCTAATGAGTTTTTCTTGTTCTGTTCTGACAGTCAGGACTGCTGAGAGGATTATTGGTGCCCCTCTGCCCAGCCTCCAAAAGAAATAAGGTCTGAGATATAAAAATCGCCTAATGAGTTTTTCTTGTTCTGTTCTGACAGTCAGGACTGCTGAGAGGATTATCGGTGCCCCTCTGCCCAGCCTCCAAGATCTTTACAGCTCCAGAGTGAGGAAAACAGCAAAGACTCACACCCAGCCCACTCTCTCTTCGAACTGTTGCCTTCTGGTCGGCGCTACAGAGCACTGATCACCAGAACAGCCAAACACAAGAACAGTGTTTTCCCACAGGCTATATTCAGCCTGAACAATTAAACTTTCATAATTATACATCATCCATCACAGCTGACATATTTATACACAGAATCCAAAATGTGTACACTTGTAATCTGCACATTTTGTAAATAACATATCTGCACACTTATAACATATCTGTACATTTATCTAAACAATTACATTTTTTATCTATACTTCTATTTCTCTATATAGTACATTATTTAATTTCAGATTTGTTCTTACATTAGTGTTATATTCCATCCCTACTGTGTTATTACTATGTATGTCTGCACAATGTCTATACTTTCTTCTACACTGGAAGCTCCTGTCATCAAGTCAAATTCCTAATAAATAATACTCTATAAATAATAAAACTCTTCTGATTCTGATGCAAAAATTAGCTTCTGAACATTTGTATGTTATTGGGCTTTATGTTTTCATAATGGCCAACTAACTGTACAGTAAATTATCCCTGTGTATTCCAGCTGGTTTTATGAGCCCCACACAGACTGAAAAACAAATGTGTGGCACCTTCAATCTGAGTAGATTATAGTTTAGCAATAGTGATTTTAACCTTTAATCAGTCAGTTGTGCAGCCTTAAACCCTAACTTTGAGGTGAAGGTATTTTTGTCCTGTTATCTAAAAACACATTTTCTGTCAAAAACAAAACATACTTTCTGAATCTGCATGCATCATGAAATGTACTGAACACAAAAACTGTTTGGGATTTCTGCATTTCATAAATGTCATAAATAAACACATTATGCTTGGTTTTTCTAATAAAATTGTCTCAATACAATAAAAAATTATGAAATTGAAAGTAGGGTCTGATGTGAATAGTGACGTGTTGGCTCTCCAGGGACGATCCAGAGACTCATAGTTGTAGCAGGGATCACTGCTGATGCTGCTGAAAGCAACTGTCGTGGAGTTCGGAAAAGTTCTGTTAAAATACTGGGACCCGCTTTACATTAAATGTCATTATACAGTCTTCTAAAATTTAAATTTGTAATTTGATAAAGTGCACTTATTGTGCAGATACATGATACACTGTGCTTATATTTAAAAACACACGCATTTATGTACAGCTGTATGTAATGCAGTTCTGTACGTACACTGTTGACTCATATCTTACAGCATAACACAGCCTTAAACATAATCATAACACTAAATCTGTCCCAAACCTGAACTATATTCCTCCTAATGAGAACTGAGAACACTGTACCTTACAATTAATCTTCTCATCTAAATTGTAACACATTAATATATAGTGTATAAATGATCAGTTACTACAGAAAGTCACAGATGTGAGATGTAAAGTCGGAATCATAATCATAAAAATAGCCTGATGAGTTTTTCTTGTTCTGTTCTGATGCAAAAATTAGCTTCTGAACATTTGTATGTTATTGGGCTTTATGTTTTCATAATTACCAACTAACTGTACAGTAAATTATCACAGTGTATTTCGGCTGGTTTTACGAGCCCCACACAGACTGAAAAACAAATGTGTGGCACATTCAATCTGAGTAGATTATATTTTAGCAATATATATTTTAACTCTGAATCAGTCAAATATGCAGCCTTAAAATCTAACTTTGAGGTGAAGATATTTTTTGTCCTGTTATCTAAAAACACATTTTCTGTCAAAAACAAAACATACTTTCTGAATCTGCATGCATCATGAAATGTACTGAACACAAAACTGTTTGGGATTTCTGCATTTCATAAATGTCATAAATAAACACATTATGCTTGGTTTTTCTAATAAAATTGTCTCAATACAATAAAAAATTATGAAATTGAAAGTGGGGTCTGATGTGAATAGTGACGTGTAGGACTGCTAAAATATGATCAAGTTTCAAGGTTTCATATCAAGAGACAGGGATCTTTCACTGAATTATTCCTATTACACTTCTTTTATTCTTGCATTTTTAAAGGAAAGCAAAGGCTGGAGAAAGAAGTAAAAAATAAAGCTAAAAATTATTGTACTTAAAGTTTGTCCATTGATAATTTCACTGCTTAAGTACCTATTAACAGTTATTAAATAATATGGCCATATATTAGCACATTTGTGATTACCTGTGGCTTTGTGCCGATGGTTGAATCACTCTAATATAGCTATATAATATTATTGCCTAAATAGCTTATTTTATTATTATAAATTATTTCATAAACACATGGGCCTGATTTGCTCATGCAAAACAATAATCCTCCTGATTGTAACACAGTACATTGGTCATAAAGTCCATTGTAGTTTCTGTGGTTTCAGTTGTGGTTGTCTCTGGCATGACAGTAGCAGTGATAGTGCTTATGTTGCTTGCATCTGAATTATAAATATTAAATAATAAAGCAACAATCTCTTACATAAATAAAGGAAACCTCAAGGCTGATCAGAAGAAATGGACAGCCCCTGAGTTAAATATATGAGTGTCACAGCAAAGGGTCTGAATACTTAGGACCATGTGATATTTCAGTTTTTCTTTTTTAATAAATCTGCAAAAATGTCAACAATTCTGTGTTTTTCTGTCAATATGGGGTGCTGTGTGTACATTAATGAGGAAAAAAATTTACTTAAATGATTTTAGCAAATGGCTGCAATATAACAAAGAGTGAAAAATTTAAGGGGGTCTGAATACTTTCCGTACCCACTGTATATTTATCTATTTAATAGGTACAAGTATTTAATGAATATGTACTAGTATATAATAAATAAGTACTAGTATATATTTTAAAAAGTTACTAGTCACAACTGGAATAAATACAGTCAAAAAGGAATAGTTGATATCTTGATGACAGATCCACATAGAAGGCAAAACAAAAATCAAACATGTTACTACTAACAACAGAATAGTTACTATAAGTTATATATTTAATAGGTACTATTATCTAATGAATAACTAGTATATTTTTTATAAATGTACTGGTACTTAAAGAATAAGCACTAGTAGTCAACAAATAAGTACTAGCACCTAGTGCAATAGATACTTGTAGCTTAAAAAAATCTAGTAGTAAGAATACTTTTTTTTTTTTTAGACTAAATGTTAAAATGGCTCACCATACCCCTCTCTTTCCTTTTTCACCAGGCTCTGGTCACCAAAAGACGACTCAGAATGTCAAAAGTTCACTAAGAATGCTTATATAGGCTACCACATCTGTGTCTTAATCCATTCCCCAATCCATTCTGTTACCAGAAAACACTCGGCACTCGGCACTCAGAACACTCACACACTGCTGTGAGTCTCTCTGCTGTCAGGCATGCATCACTCACATTTTTACCTGACAATCAAAATGTTATATTTGATTTATACTATTCTTCTGAAATCATTATGACTAGTAGATTAAGTGGAGTCTGGTGATGCCACATATCTGTGTGCAGTTCAAAGTGAAGGCCATGAATGAATGATGAATGTGCCACATCATCTGACAGCTTCTGATTTCTGTCTAGCACTGACTCAGCAAGTTGTATGAATGTGACTATAAAGCTACACTTTTTGTTATGAGCAACCTCTGACTAAAATCAGACTGGCGAGTCTGTGTCCATGAGATTCCAACCAGCCGTCATGAGACTCTGCGACATTCAGATGAAGGAAGAAACAGATGAAGAGTAAGGGAATAGGGATTCAAATATCCAAATTAGAAACAGAATTAGATAGATAAATATCTCGCTCTAAACTTTAGAATAATTTGAAACTGGAGTCAGATTAAGCATGTAGTAGAATGATTAAATTAACTAATTAAGTTAACTATACAGAAGTCAGGGAAAAGACCTACACACAGTGTACCTTCTGTTTCTTCATAAAGCTTAAATCATAAATCATAAAAACTCACAGAAAAAAAGATACAAAAGCGGTCACTACAGCAGAACCTTTTCAAAAGGTACAAATGTATACCATTTAGGTACTGAAATGTACATTTTAGGTACTAATATGCAGCTTTAAGGTACTTATATTTATTTTAAGGGGTAAATGCAAATATACAAAGGTGTATTTTTTTTAAAAGATACCGGCCGCCCCAGTGACAGCTTTTGTACCTTTTTTCTGAGAGTGCACTGATACCATAAAGTGAAAATAAGGAATCCTTAAATTTAGGAACACTTGCTGTATGCTAAACATAATAATAATAATAATAATGTAATTCCCTTAAAACTGTAATTATAGCTGTCATGTCTACTATCAACTCTCTCTTTGGGCTTGCTGTCCCTGCTTTGAAAACCAGGTTGTAGCAGAGAGCAGTCAAACAGGGTGGCAAAGTTTAAAGATCATTTCCACACCTTATGTATCAAGTTTCTGTGGACAATCAAAACAGATGCCTTTTGCCTTCAGATTAAACAACTCTTCTTGTGCAGAACAGGAGGGTTAACATGAACATACAGTACACAGGAACTGCTTATTCTTATCAATGTGTGAACGACAGTAAATTCCTTTCGACTCACAGGAAAAACACGTTTTGTCATGTAGTTGAACCTTCACATACTTCACAAACAATTCCATTACACAAAATGGAACAAATCCTCTCCATATCTATTTACAGATCTGTATATGCTTGATTAGCTGTTTGTGACACAATAAGGTATACACACTTATATATTAAGGTATAAAGGACGGCATTAGTGAAAGTTATTTTTTATATATATTTTTTTTTCTGGTTACTTTTTTTCTGTGTAGCTGAATAATCCATTGTGTCATCACGTTCACAATCAGATGCACAGCTGTATCAGTGCTATGATCTGCACAACATATATTTTATTTGTAAAAGATGAGTTGGAATGTTGTCGCTGATTTTATGAGCACAACACGCACTGAAAAACAAATGTGTGGCATCTGGACAGATTACATTTTTCAGCTGAATCAGTCAATTGTGCAGAACTTGAGGTGACGAAAATATTTATTTAAATAATATTTATCTAAAACACTTTTTAGTAAAAAAATTGTTTGTTGAATTTGTTTTCCCAGTAATTGTTCAAATACAGCCTATTTTGTCCTGGCAATGTAGATGATAAAGTACATAGATACGATTATTATTATGATTATAACTAATGTTAATCACTGATGGTCTGCTGAAGCTGCATGCATCATGAAATGGACTGAACATGAAAGTAGTGAGTGTTGGGGATTTGTTCATTTCATAAATGTCACAAATTCCAAAGACATTTAGCTTGGTTTATCTGATAAAACTTTGTTTCAATACAATAAAAATAATGAAATTAAAAGTGAATAAAAATTTTTTTTTTGTTTTAGTTGGATTGCTAAAATGTGAGAACCTTTCATATTGATATCACTAAATTATTCATATTAAATTTATTTTATTTTTTATATAAAGCTAAGGATGGAAAGATTAGATAAAGTTATATATATATATGTACCTGAAGTTTGTCCATTGATCATTTCACCTGTTAAATACACAGTATAAACATAATGAATTAATACTGAATGTAAACCTACTTACAATATCATTGTAAAGCACATGACAAATAAAGCTCTCACCATTAATCAGCAGCAGTAGAGACACACACAGTGAGATCAGAAACCTCATTGTGACCAACGGCAACTCCTGCACCTGCACACATATACATACAAATATACATACACACAACCAGTCAAACGTTTTTGAACAGTAATACTTTTGTTTTTTAAAGAATTCTCTTCTGCTCACCAAGCCTGCATTTTTTAATCCAAAATACAGCAAAAGCAGTAATATTGTGAAATATTTTTACTATTTAAAATAACTGCTTTCTATTTGAATATCTGTTAAACTGTAATGTATTTCTGTGATGCACAGCTGTATTTTCAGCATCATTTCTCCAGTCTTCAGTGTCACGTGATCTTCAGAAATCATTCTAATATGCTGATTTGCTGCTCAAGACACATTTCTGATTATATATATATATATATACATTAAATGTGTCTCATATTAATTATTTTATTTTGTGCACATTTGCAAATAAATAAATAAATAACTTTACCTGAGATCAAATGCTGCTGCAGAACAAACTCAGCGAGATTCTCTCTTCAGCAGCTGAATACAGTGATGATGATCTGCAGCTCATGATCTCATCGGTGCCTTTAATAACGGTGGGTGGATCATTACTGGAACCAAGAGTAATCTCTAAACAATAACTTAAGTAATTTTCTCTTGTGACATGAAGATATTTATTTGAACGGATTCCTTTTGTGTAGACATTCCTTCACTCTGTACAGATAGATGTGAATGTAGATGGAATGATGATGAGCAACATTTTCCAAAGCAGCTTTACAAAAACAGTAAAACTAACCCTCCAGTGAGTGAGCTAAAGGTGACTGGAAAGATTCATGCTAATTAATTTAACAATCTGTTAATGAATTCTGTGTGAAAATAATGTTTAACCAATGACATTAAAAGCTTCAGTTCATCCTAAGACCACTGGAAGCACACAGGTGATCAAGTAATATGGAGTTTATGAGATGTGCAAACTAACAAGATCATAACATAGCAGGTTAATAAGTCAATTAAACGGTATCTAATATTTGGATACAAAACAAATAAAGGGGGATAAAAAGAGAAAAAGCGACAAATAATGTTAATGGAACTTGATTTACAAAGACAGAATAGAATAAAATTAGGCTAAACAGGCAAATGTTGGTACTTCCCTGAAGCAAGAATGTGTCACACAAAATGCATTCAAAAAATGTTGTGCACGGGCACATGTCCCGTCGGCTGATCATGTTGTTGAAGCAAAAAAGCAACTTAATGAACACTGTATTCACATGCAGATTTAATGAAGGTGCAGAATTACATTCTTTAGAAATGTTCTACCTTCATCCGCTGCACATTTTATTTCATCATTCAAAAACCCATGTCAAAAAACCACGTGATGCACATTAATGTGTCCTGACAGTAATATCCCCTCTGGAACTATAATGAAAATATAGAAAGAAAGAAAAACATAAAACAAATTGTAAATATAGAAAGGCTTAAATAAGCAGTCAAATTTGATGTAGATGTGTCAATGTAAAGTAAACTCTAATCTTACTTTCAAGAGTTTTGGGGAACACTTTACAAATAAGTAAAAAATAAACAACAACAAAAACAAATACTTTTACAGCATTTATCGATTTAGCTTATTTTTACTTTCTACATTACATTTGAACAAGTTGAATACATTAACAGTAAATATATTAAATACTGTAACAAAAAGTTCATGTGTTAATATTTTAGGTATAATGAATTAACATTCATAAAATTTTACTTTATATGTGTGAGTGTGCAGCAATAAAAAATGACAGCAATAATATCATTGAGAAGTACTGAATGTGACTTTTCAAACTGGATAGCCAGGTTTACTGTCATTTTTATACATTATAGGACTTTCAGAAAACCACCAAACTGGATTCCAGACATGGAGCTGCAAATGCTGCTAGGTTTGTTAATTAAGTTGTCAAAGTGCATATATCAATCACTTAAAGTGTTTTTTTTTTTAGTAATTGCAGCAACCAGATGATCGAGATTAAAAAAATACCTACTTACACTGACTGTCACCAAAAAGTAATGCATTTCAATATTGTGTTACTCCCTAAAAAGCAACAAATTAGGTTAGTTACTTTTTATGAAAATGAACGTGTTACGTTACTTTTGCATTACATTTTCTCATCTGGGCTGGGCTTGCTTGTTTGTTTTTAATATAAAAAGGTTCTAATTTTAAAATGAAAAATGTGCAATCTATTTAGATTTATTCCAGCTGTTTCTTAATTATTTTCTGTTCTAATTAAATTAAAATATTTTTATTCTTGTCTAATCACTTTTAGTTTGTGTCACTTTCCATCCAGTTTGATCCAGTTACACAAAACCATCTGACAAAATCAACAACTTATTCATGGACCAGATCATGTTTCTATTTCTGAAAGTCTCATAATCATCCACATTTGCCTACAGAATACTTGAGTGCTATATGAAAGGCTCTTTCACCATATGAATTATTCCCACTACATTTTTTTTTCTACATATGTAATGGAAAGGATGGAAGAAGGAAAATGTAAATTTTACAATATCTACCTGTGCTTTGTCCATTTGTCACTTGTTAATAAATACACAATATAAACATTTGATTTAATATTATGAAATTATTTAGTTATTTTACGTGACAGATGATAAAACACTCACCATTAATCAGCAGCAGTAGTGACACACAAGACCAGAAACCTCACTGTGACGGAAAAGCCCCTCTTGCACCTACACACATATACAACATGAAACAGTTACATTTTGTTCGTTTTTATTTTTGTGTTTATTGTGCAGACTAGTAAAAAACACCTTAAATTAAAATGTTCACAAAGCAAAACTCAGGGAGATTCTCTCTTCAGCAGCTGAATACAGTGATGATGATCTACAGCTCTCATGATTTTATCTTGCCTTTACTGGAACTGCCGGAAGTAATTTCGCAACAATTTTCATGTGACATACCTGTATTGGTTATTTTAATAGATT